TCATTGGCAGGCGGAATGAAATCACTGCATTTCTACAAAACAGCTGCTGGTGTTTTGAGGCTTAAGAATAGAAAAATGAAGCTGCTGTGCTCTTCATCTGCAATTTTGCCTTGTTTAATTCAACTAAACTTAAATCTAAGTCTCAAAAACAGTGTCTGATGAACTCACATGGCACTGAGTTATTTCAGTATTCCTGTTTTAATTAAATATGAACTATGTGCACTAACCCTTATTTTTAGAAAAGACACTCAGGGTGGTGCAGGTGGCTTTGGGGTTATGTGGCCTTTGTTTTCCCTTTTTGTCATCTGGGGACACTGTTCTGCCCTGGGCGGAGCTCCTCCTGACAGAGCAGTGTGGAAAGGAGGGTCTGACCCCATTTCCCAGAGCTTTCCAGTGCACTCCTGCAGCAGCTGAGCCCAGGAGCACGTCCCAGATGGTGCAGCCCTTGCAGCAACTGCCCAAGGGCCCACATACACGAGCTCAAACTGTTTTAGCTTCCTAATTAAGGCCAAAGTCACGATTTGACTGCAGTGATTCGCTTGTGGAAAACAGGTGGGAAAGGGCTTAACAACAGCCTAGGCTTTCCCCTAGGATAGCAGCCAGCGGTGCAGCTCTCCTGGAGACATGGTGCATCCTTCTTAGCACCGTTTCTTTACACCTGGGTGGGATGTCTTTGACTTCGCTGGGATAAAAGCGGGATGGATGTCTTTCATGTTCTGTTGAGATGCTGCAAGCCTGTACCCAAAACTTCAGGTGAGGGTCACGGTCTATTTTGGTATCCAAAGTAACTACAGTTAGGGAGTTCACAGTACGGCACTTTATCTTCCTAATCTAGATACCTCTTAGTTACAGGCTACAGGCACTAATTAGCTTTGCTCCTACAAACTGGGAAGCCCTTAGACTTTCTGGGAACTTATTACCGCCAGGATTTTTACAGATAACATTAGTGTCTGCGGAGTTTACCCAAGGTAATTTATGTTCTCTTTGCAACTCAGGGAAAACTCTTAGATGTTTGACATCATAAAACAGTAAAACCGGGAGATTTATTACAGAGGCAGAGAGAACAGGGCCCTTGAGCTGCTTTGTTTGTCATAAAAAGTCAGGTTAATCAGATGTGCACATGTGCCTCCCATATTTTCTGGTTTTGTTTCCCTCCTGTGCTGCTCCTCGACAGGCTCTGCAGTAGATGAAAAGGCATGGGAGCCCTGGCAAAAGTTCTTCAGACTCTACAGGATGAGGATTATAT